GTGAAACATTAATTGATTGCCTTATACACACCATGATGAAGGATTGAACCTGCAACTTAGGTATGTCTCTGACCACACTGAACTATAAAAGCCAGGGCTAATTACCAATTTTAGAGAAATTTAATAAGTAATCAATAATCCCCCATCAACTCACCCTTTAATTTTTGTAGTCTTTTGCTAAACATTATATTAATAGGACTTATCCATGTCACTTATAGCAGGAGATAAAACACTGTGAAAGGTCTCCTCCTTAGAACCTGAAGGAAGGAAGACGTTTTTAATCACAAGAGATGAGGAGAGGGGGAGAGAATGAATGTGAGAAGTGTGTGATATTCCTTTGTCATTCTATTCTTTTCAGTTTTTGTATCAAGGGATATCTCTGATGTCTTGGCCCTCAAAGTCCTCACTGACTTGGTTATTCTCTGATATCTTCAAATAGTTGAATTTTTCAGAAAAATGCTATTCAGCTTTTATGATTGTTCTCAGGGGAAAGTTTATGAATAATACAAGCTACTCATTGAGAGCCACAAACAAAACTTTTGCCTTTTATAAACTTGGTGAACAAACAAAATTTGAAAAAAATGTCTAAACGTTTTTAGTTAACTCCTTGAACTGAAAAATTCTTTGGTTCCTAAACATATAATTTCGTCTTTCATGCCAATTAGTACCCTCATATGTTAAAATAGAGGAGAAAATCAATGAAAATTAATTTTAGTCAAATATTTGTCCCTATAGGAAGGAAAAAATAGCTGGAAAATGTTAATGTGGCCATCTGTGATATTTTTTAAATATTAATCAATTATTACAGTAAGGGGCACTGGAGCACCCTCAGAGATGGAACTCAGAAACTTCACTGGACAGATGAGCAGGAGGACTTGACTATTCATAGTTAATGACAACTTTTAGAAACAGAAAGACATTATCTAGGCAGCAAGATGAACAGATTTTACCCATTAAATTTACATGGATTTAATAAATTTATTGGATCTCACTAAGGAATATGGGATTCATTCTATAATATAACATCAATCTGAAATTGATATAAACATTTAAAAAGAGAAGGGATGAGGTGAGAGTAGAGAAGTTGAGGTAACTCTATCATTTGTTGAACTCCTACTATGTACTTTGCTACCATTATCTCACTTAACCCCTGTAAACATGAGGTATTTTTTAATACATTCTTTCTTATAAAAAAAAATCTGGTAGAAAATGTTTCATTTACATTGATAAAATATTTTATTTTTAAAGATTTCTGAAAAGTTTACTCAAAAATTATTAATATCTTTTGGAAAATTTTTAAGTTATTTTTTAGTTACTTTAAAGAAACAGAGCAAGTAAACTGCACTTAAAAATGTAGGACCTAGGCAAATATTGACATCTGCAGATTTATTGCCCTCTTATTTTTGTTGTTGTTGTTTTTGTATTTTTATATTTTTATTTTTGTTGTTCAGTTAGTTGTCACACCATTTTCCCCATTGCTCTCTCCTGCACCACTCACCCCTGCTTCCACAGTCAATCCCCACCACATTGTCTGTACCAATGAGTCCTCTATTCATGTTCCTTGAAATGCCCCTTCCTCTTCTTTCTCCTGTTATCCCCCTCCCTGCTCCACTCTGATGACCATCAGTTTGTTCTTTATTTGCACATCTCTGGTTCTATTTCGCTCGCTTGCTTATTTCGTTGATTAGGTTCCACTTATGGGTGAGATCATATGGTATTTGCCTTTCACAACCTGGCTTCTTTCACTTAGTATAATACTCTCCATTAACATCAATGCTGTCACAAAGGGTCTGAGTTTCTTCTTTCTCTGCGCTGCTTAGTATTCCATTCTGTAAATGAACCACAAGTGTTTGATCCACTCATTTACTGACAGACACTTAGGCTGTTTTCCAGCCCTTGGCTATTGTAAATAACACTGCTATGGACATTGGGGTACATAGGTTCTTTTGAATTGGCATTTTGGGATTCTTAGGGTATAGTCCCAGCAGTGGAATCGCTGGGTCAAAAGGTAGTTCCATTTTTAGCTTTTTGAGGAAATTCCAAACTGTTTTCCACAGTGGATGCACCAGTCTGCATTCCCATCGACAGGGTACTAGGGTTCCCTTTTATCCACAATCACACTAGCACTTGTTGTTTGTTGATTTCTTTTTCTTTTTTCTTTTTTTTTTTACCCCAAGTTGTTATTTATTTTCATGAGGAGGGAGAAAAAAGAACTTTTTATGATAGTGAAAATATACTTTATTTTAATACAATAGCTGCCAGCAATATACTGGTTCCAGAGAGACAAAAGAAAAATACAAGCATTCTATAATAAGCTTTCATTTGCCTTTTCAAGTAATTCTAAAGAAAACAGTCCAATTCTGTTCAACATTATGACTTAGGGAGTTGAAATTTTTTTCCATGATAAAAATATAATTTTGACAGCTCTCAACCTTGGTAATTTGTAACGAATGGAATAAAAAAGCCCATATAGTATATCAATAATGAATGCTTCCCTCTCTTTGAATCAAATACAATTATAACCAGTGTAGGAAATTGGTTGATAATAACTTGATGAAATGTGTATCAAAATGTTCATGAAAAAATACATTTGTTTCCTATCATTTTTACCTTATAGTTATTTTCTAAATGGATATTTTAAATGCACAGAAACAAAAGCTATCTACATGCAACCCTGGAGATTCAAAACTCAACAGAAGTAACACTGCCTAAATTCTAGAGCTAATCAATTTAGCGTAAGAATAAATGTCAGAAATCTCTTACTTGTATACAGATTGCTCAAGGGTTTACAGGTATGTTGTGTAAGCCAAAGTCACCAAGAAATAAAATCTTACATGAATTTTATCACGTCAACAATTCTAGTAAAAGAGAACAGAACTGTATACAAAAATCTGCATTTCCTTTCTTTTTTTTTTTTTTAAAGAAGTCACCAACTGAAATAGCAGGGAGCTTTCCAACTGTTGAACACAAAACTTAGCAGAATCCCTTGGGAAATAGTAGGAGCTTCCATTCAGGAGCTCCTCGTTCGTTTAAATGAAGGGGTAAATGATGGAGTAGTTGCAGAAATAATATCAAATGATTTCCATTATCAATCCACACACTACATGGTGACTTTTATTCCCAAATCTCCTAAGATTTAAGCTATGAACTTTCTACAAATATAAGATGGGTTAAAAAAGCATTTGCTGGGGTCATCCTATTTTCTGGTTTTTGTCCACTTGCCAATCTCAATTTCATCTAACTTCCCTGATAAAGCAATAAGGTCTTTCTATACAGAAAAATAATTTTGCCTTCATCAAAATCCTAACTGACCTACTTTCCTTGGATAGTGAGAAGGCAAGAGTCAGGGGACACATTATTTTTAAAAATAGAGAGAATAAATATCCAAGGTAAAAATACTTGACAACTGAGTTTGTATTTCTCATCACTCTGAGGAACGCGGCTCCTTGCTCCTTAGCCGTCTGCTCTGCACCGCCTAGTTCACCATTCCCGGGAAGGGACAGACACCCCTTCTGAATCTTCTTCACGCTTGAAGCTATGAGGCAAGATTCAGTCTCACCTGAATGCCAAGTCACCACTATTTAAAAATAGATGAAAAGTGATGATTGGTTGGCTATGTACTGGTGCAGATGCGACATTTTTCACCCACTGAAGCAACTGCTATAGAATCTCAATGGATAACCTGATAGCGCTACTTCCTGGAACCAGATAAATCAGCAGCCAATATTTAATTGCAAAAAGGTGGGTGCCCAAACTTTTGATCAGCAATAAGGAGTTTTAAGAAAGGTAAAGCAAATCTCCCTGAGCCAAATGGGTACAATATGGAGCTTTTCTTATCTTTTTCTACTAAGCCAATCACTGATAGGTTAAAAAATGCAGTATGCTTTGAAAAATCAGGCTGCTTCCATAACACCAATGCTTACTAAATGTTAGCATACCAAAGGGAGGGAATCATTGCCAGTTGAAAACAATATACTTAAAATTTCCAAAAACCACCTATGAGAAACAGCACTTCTTAAACAAGTTAGGTATAAAAAAATTACCAAAAATTTATTTATTGTTCCACCTTTGGAGCAATATTTAGAAAGTCTAATTTTATTTTAAAAATGAACAAATACACAGCAAGCTTTTGTTTTATTTTCACCAAGTTCATTCTCCCTTATTAGAGCACAAATAATTCCTGGTTTAGGACTTCAATTTAAAAAACAAACATGCAGGGTGCTATTCCTCAGTGTGGCTGCAGAGAAATTTAATTGAAGGAAACACAATGATTGACATTAGGCAAAACTGCAGTAAATATGTACTCATATAACAACTATAATTTAGTCCAAAAGGAGGGAGTCATCCTCTGCCCGGAGCCTAACAGTAAATGGGGTCGAAATGGAAAAATTGCTAATCTGTATGTTTTATCTTATTTTTAATATAGGGTAGAAAATGCCATCTTTAGATTATCCACATTAAATATGCTTTCGAAACAAAATTCTACTTGATAGTTTGACAAACCCATCCTACCTTTATTAGGTTAATTTCCGTGTTAATTTTTACTTTACTAAAAATCATTGTACTGCTATAGCTAAATCAACTAAACATCAGTATACGTAGTGTTGCTCAAAAGATCGACAAACAGCAAGGTCTATGTTTATCTAAAAAGGAACCTTTTAAAATAAAGGAAGAAAGCAATAATGTTCCAAATTAATGGCACTGGGCAAAATTACATATAGCAAATACCACATTCAGACAGAATATGCCCATCAGTTTATCTTACATGGATAAAATTCTCAAGAAGGACTGAGAATATTATCCCTCCCTCTAAACTTTTAGCTTCTACACAGTGTCAGATGTTATAACTGGTATAATGGATAGGTGCTTTTAGGAAAAGTAAAAGCCCACATACAAAGTGAAAGAGCAAAATCTGTAGTGACATTGGTAGAAGACCCTCTTGCCTGGTGGTACAGCTTTTAGCACATATCCAGGATAGGCTAAACTGAAACAGGGTACAGTATTTTGATACAGTAGCAATCCTTTCATATACTCTTACTAAATACTATAAAACTCCAAAAATACATAAATATTCCTTGTACCACGCATTATGCACCAGTTTGGGGCTGACCGATGAGGTCGTGGTTACTATGTCAACAGTTGAACCCTGCACCTCAGCTGCCCTGCCACCTATATACAGTGAATGGATGCGACGGTGAGGGCGCTAGAGAGATGGCAAACTGCCTCTAAAGGAGAAAGTTTGAGAAGTGTCTCTGAATTAGAAGAGTGGAGGATATGGGGTAGGGGAGGTAGGCAGGGTAAAAAAATTTAAAATAATACTGCTTAGGAGTGCATGTTTAAAGAGAGCTACTACACCTTATCTATCCTTTATCCTAACCTTGAGTAACTGCCTCTGTCATGCAAAATAAAATGTCTACTTTATAGGACAAGAATCAGCCTGTTAGAAAAAGCATATTCGTAATCAGGAAAAGATGTGAAGACATCTCTCTCTAAGTGCTCTTTTACTTGGTAAGTCTTTTGGCTACGTCACTATATGCTATTTCAACCTCCTTATCACTGGGACAGGTATTAGTGAACTCATCCCTACTATAAGCATTAGTTAAGTATCTCCAGATGCCGGTCATCCGTTTTGGAATATCAAAGTTGCAATATTTTTTGGTCACCACCTTGACGATGTGCAGTTTGGGCATCAGGTTGCAATCAGCCAATGTCATTTCATTGCCATCCAGAAATTTACGTGTGGAAAACTTAATCTCCTCCATACTATTCTCATCAATTTCATCAGGAAGGGGAGAATTCAGATAGTCATCCAGTTTCTACAGTGTTTTCAAGAGCCCTCTCTCCAATGCTTCATTAGCCTCTGGCCTTGAATTCTTAATATATGCAGAGAATTTGGCAAAGATTTCCATTCCAGCAGTATTCGATTCCGGGTGTTTTGGTGAAAGCTTTAAGTACTTGGGAGGGCATAGAGCTTCTTCAAGAAATTCTTCAATCTTATTTACATCCGTTTTGACCTCATTGTTGAAAGTTATGAATGGTGGGTGGGTCCCAGGAGCCAAGTTCTGCAGGTCTACAGGCTTCCTTTTCAAGTCAACGGTTGTGACACTAAATACAACCCCTTTGAGCCAAAGAATCATGAAGAGCCTCTGGGAAAAGGGGCAGTTTCCTATGCTTTCACCATCACTGCCAGCCTTGATGAAGAGCTCAATGATGGGATCTTTGTCTTCCTCCTTCAGCCCGTTCAGCGGCATCGACAACGCCATGGCCAGCTCGGTGGGCTCCACGGACACTGGTAGCGGCTGCTGCTTCTGCTCCGGGGTGCTCTGGAGTCTGTTGATTTCTTTATGATGGCCATTCTGACTGGTGTGCAGTGGTATCTCATTGTGGTTTTAATTTGCATCTTTCTGACAGCTAATGATGTTGAGCATTTTTTCATCTGTCTATGAGCCCTCTGTGTGTCCTCCTTGGAGAAGTGTCTGTTCAAGTCCTTTACCCATTTTTTAATTGGATTGTTTGTCTTCCTAGTGTGGAGTCCTGTGAGTTCTTTATATATATCTCCTTGCCTGAGGTGTCATTGGCAAATGTATTTTCCCATATAGTTGGTTCCCTTTTTATTTTGTGGATGTTTTCTTTAGTCGTGCAAAGGTTTCTTATTTTGATGAAGTCCCATTTGTTTATTCTTTCTTTTATATCTCTTGCCCTAGGAGATATATCAGTGAAAATATTGCTGCATGGAATATCTGAAATTTACCTGCCTATGTTCTCCTTTAGTACTTTTATGGTATCACTTGTTATATTTAAGTATTTTATCCATCTTGAGTTTATTCTGGTGTATGATACAAGTTGGTGGTCTAGTTTCATTTTTTGCATGTAGCTGTCCAGTTTTTCCAACACCATTTATTGAAGAGGATATTTTTACTCTATTTTATGCTCATGTCCCTTTGTCAAATACTAATTGACAATAGTGACATGGGTTCATTTCTGAGCTCTCTATTCTGTTCCATTGATCTATGTTCTTATGGCAGTACCAGACTGTTTTCAGTACAGTGGCCTTGTAATATCGTTTGATATCAGTATTGTGATCCCTCCTACTTTGTTCTTTCTCAAAATTGCTGAGGCCATTTGGGGTCGTTTACAGTTCCATGAGGCCATTTGGGGTCGTTTACAGTTCCATATAAATTTTTGAAATGTTTGTTCTATATCTGTGAAATGTGCCATTGGTATTTTAATAGGGATTGTGTTGAATCTATAAATTGCTTTGGCTAGTATGGATATTTTGATGTTATTTCTTCCCATCCTTGAACATGGTATATACTTCCATTTATTTGTGTCTTCCTTAATTTCTTTCCTCAATGTTCTGTAGTTTTCTGAGTACAGGTCTTTTATCTCCCTCATTAAATTTATTCCTAAGTATTTTATTTTTCTTGTTGCTATAGTAAATTGGATTTTTTTCCTAATTTCTGTATCTGATATTTCTTTTTTAGCATACAAAAAATACTTTCCATTTCTGAATGTTGACTTTGTATCCTGTCATTTTGCCAAGTTCATTTGGTAAGTCAAGTCATTTTTTGGTGGAGTCTATAGAGTTTTCTATGTACACTATCATGTTATCTGCAAACAATGACTGTTTTACTTCCTCCTTTCCAATTTGGATGTCTTTTATTTCTTTTTCTTGCCTGATCACTGTGGCTAGAACTTCCAGCACTGTGTTGAATAGAAGTGGTGAAAGCAGACACTCTTGTCTTGCGCCTGATATTAAGGGGAAAGCTTGTAGTTTTTGCCCATTAAGTATGATGCTGGCTGTAGGTTTTTCATATATGGCCTATATTATGTTGAAGTATGCTCCCTCCACTTCCACTTTGCTGAACATTTTTATCATAAGTGGGTGTTGTACTTTATCAAATGCTTTTCCCACACCTATTGATATGATTATGTGGTTTTTGTCTTCCATATTGTTTATGTGATGTATTGACACTTATTGATTTCTATACATTGTACCACCCTTACATCCTTGGAATGAATCCCACTTAATCATGGTAGATGGTCTTCTTAATATATTTTTGGGTACAGTTAGCCAATATTTTGTTGAGGATTTTAGTGTCTATATTCATCAAAGATATTGGCTTGTAGTTTACTTTCCTTGTTGTGTCTTTACCTGGTTTTAGAATTAGGATAATATTGGCCTCATAAAAAGTTTTGGAGTCTTCCCTCTTCTTGGATTTTTTGGAATAGTTTGAGGACAGGGGTTAGCTCTTCCTTAAATATTTTGTAAAATTCTCCTGTGCAGCTGTGTCCCAGGGCCTTTGTATACTGGGAGTTTTTTTTTTGATTACTGCTTCCATTTCACTAGCTGAAAATTGCTCTATTCAGGCTTTCAACTTTTTGGCTCAGTTTTGGAGTATTATATGTTTTAGAAATTTGTCCATTTTACCCAGGTTTTCAAATTTCTTGACATGTAGTTGTTTGTAGTAATCTCTTATAATCTTTTCTATTTCTGTGGTATTGGTTGTAATTTCTCCTCTTTCATTTCTGATTTTATTTATTTGGGTACCCTCTCTTCTCTTCTTGATGAGTCTGGTTATAGGCTTGTTGATTTTGTTCATCTTTTCAAAGAACCAGCTCCTAGATTTATTGATTCTTTGAATTGTTCTTTTAGTCTCTATGTCATTTAATTCTTCTCTGATCTTGATTATTTCCTCCCTTCTACTCATTATGGGATTTGTTTGTCATTTTTCCTCTAGTTCTTGTAGATACAGGGTTAGGTCATTTATTTGAAGTGTTTCTCGCTTTTTTAGGTAGACCTGTATTGCTATGAATTTTCCTCTCAGGACTGCCTTTGCTATGTCCCATAGGTTTTAGAGTTTTTTGGTTCATTTTCTTTTGTTCCCAGAGACATTTTTATTTCTTCCTTGATCTCGTTGTTTCTCCATTCATTGTTTAATAGCATGTTATTCAGTCTCCATGGATTTGACTGTTTCTCAGTTTTTTCCTTGAGGTTGGTTTCTAGTTTCAAACCATTATGATCTGAGAAGATGCTTAATATGATTTCAGTATCTTGAATTTGTTGAGGCTTGTTTTGTGTCCTATCATGTGGTGTATCTTTGAAAATGTTCCATGTGCATTTGAAAATAATGTGTATTTTGATTCTTTGCAATGAAAGGTTCTGTATAAATCAGTTAAGTCCATTGATCTATTGTGTCATTCACAGCCACAATGTCCTTGTTGATATTTTGTTTGGAAGATCTGTCTATTTTTGCCCATGAGTGTTAAAATTCTCTACTATAAGTGTGTTGCTATTCTTTCTTGAAGTCCTCCAAGTTTTTTCTCATATATTTGGGTGCTTCAATGTTGGATACATATATGTTTATAGTGTTTATAACTTCTCTTTTTTTATCAGTATTCTTTCTTTTTATTTTTCATTTTTTCATTTTCAAATCATGTTTATTCTATTAGAGGTGTCTCAATTTTTCCCCATTGCCCTCCTTCACCCATCCCACCCCTACCCCCCTCACGCAAAGTCAATTCCCATTTTGTTGTCGATGTTCATGGGTCATTTATACATGTTCTTTGTTTAGTCCCTTCTCCTTTCCACCGTTGTCCTCTTTCTCCACCCGCTCTGGTCACCTTCAGTCTGCTCCATGTTTCTATGGCTGTGGTTCATTTTGTTCATTAGTTTATTTTGTTGAATAGATTCCACTTATAGGTGAGATCATATGGTGTTTGTCTTTCACCAACTGGCTTATTTCACTTAGCATAATATTTCCAGTTCCATCCATGATGTCGCCAAAGGTAGGAGATCCTTCTTTTTATCTTTCTTATTTTTAAATGTGGATTTTATTTATTTATTTATTTATTTATTTATTTATTTATTTATTGTCAAGATCCATTATAAAATATTTTAAAAATTTAAATCTATATTATAAAGTCTCAGCAATTAAAACGACTTGACACTAGCACAGAAATAATCAAGTAGATCACCGAAATAAAATGAGCATTCTAGAAACAAATGTATATATATTTAAATTTCAAATCAATGGGTAAAATAAGGCTTATTCAACAAATAAGGTGCATGGACCACAATTACATGAAATAAAACAAATATAGAGCCTTATTTCACACATTATACAACAAATATTCAGGTGAGTTAAAAATCAATATGTAAAATCTAAGGAGTTTTCAGAGAAAATTCAAAATAGTATTTTTCTTACATATTCAAGCCCAGGAGCTATAAAGGAAAATATTGACAATATGGTTATATTAAACATTTAAGACAATAGAGTAATATGCCTATTTAAAAAAAAGTTAAAGGACAAGTAATAGAATGGGAAAGTATTTGCCATACATCTAAAACAGGGTTAATAGTTTTTCTCTTTTTTTTTAGGGCAAAAATTCTACAAACCTTTCAGCAAAAAATGGATAAAGAATACCAAAAAGTCATTTAAAGCTTTTTTAAAATAATAGAAATAGGCAAGAAATATACAAAAACAGATTTCGTTTCAACAATTAATAAAGGAACAATTAAACTAACACATCATTGTCACAATCCAATTAATAAGTATTAAAAATATTGGTAATATCAAGTATTGGTGACTGTGAAAGGAAGACTCTTTCACTTCATCTTCTTAAAGCAGTCCCTTTAGCATATTTTGCAATGCTGGTTTGGTGCAGGTGTATTCTTTTAGCCTTCTTTTGTCAGGGAACCTTCTTATTTCACCTTCCATTTTAATTGAGAGCCTTGCTGGGTAGAGCAGTCTTGGTTGCAGGCCTTGGCTTTTCATGACTTGGAATATTTCTTGCCATTCCCTTCTGGCTTGTAGTGTTTCTGTTGACAAGTCAGCTGCTAGCCATATCGGGGCCCCCTTATATGTTACTACCTCTTTCTTCCTTGTTGCCGTAAGGATTCTGTTTGTCTGTGATATTTGGCATTTTAAATATGATATGTCTTGGAGTTGGCTTCATTGGGTTCCTCTTGAATGGGACCCTCTGTGCTTCCTGGACTTGTGTGACTTTTTCTCTCCTCCACTTAGGGAAGTTTTCCCTCATTACTTTTTCAAACAGGTTCTTTATCCCTTGTTCCTCTTCTCCTTCTGGTATTACTATCATACAGATATTATTACTTTTGGTTGTCCTGCATTTCCCTCAATACCTCTTCATTATTTCTGAGTCTATTTTCATTTTCTCACTCTTTCTGGGAGCTTTTTGGCTACCTTGTCCTCCAGTTTGCTGATTCAGTCTTCTGATTCATCTAGCCTGCTTTTGATTCCTTCTATTGCGTTCTTCAATTCAGAAATTGTATTCTTCATTCCCTCTTGTCTCTTATTGATAGCTTCTATGTTCTTTTTTATGCTGATATAGTTTGCAGTAAGTTCCTCATACTTTCTCTGT